CTTTTTACAGGTTTCGTATATATCTATGTGCATATAAATGTGCCATACTGAGCAATATGCATCATATAGAACATATTTTCCTACAGATTTTTACACTTAACAATACTTCTTCAGTCTCAGTCATACAAATCTATTTCATTATTCTTAATCACGCCATGGTACTCCAGAGCTTAAATTCCCTGCCGTTTGACTTATACTTTGTGAATTCTCACTATCCCAAACATTGCTACAGTAAATGTCATGACACAGGCCTTCTGGGGCACATTTGGAAGTGACAGAGCCTTGATGTGTATATTTTTCTTTATAGTAATTAATGCAAAATTATTTTCTTAAATGACTATACCAATCTACCCTCCTGAGAGTAGCATGTGAGAATGTAATCACCTCTAAATCAGTGATTCTTAAATCTAGAGAAATCACCCCACCTCACAGTAGTTTACTTGGCAAAGTTTGGAGACATTTTTTTGTTGTCACAACTGGAATGAGGAGTAGTGCTACCAGCATCTAATGGGTCAGGGATACTGCTAACTATTGTACAATGCATAGACAGGCAACAAAGAATTATCTGTCCTGAAATGTCAACAGGGCTAAGGTTGAGAAACCTCTAAATCCAAACTGATAGCTACTATTATCAAACATTCAACATTTTTATCCCTATGTATATAATAGATAAAACTAGTATTTTAAGTTTATAAACCCTTGGATACTAACGAGTTGTACATCTTTTCACATTTCTTTCATTGATCAAATATATTTACATACCCAGTTAATTGCCTCTTCATAGTCTTTGCTATTTGTCAACTTACTTTGTGTCATTTTCTTGATTTATTTATGTAATCTAGATACAGATCCTAATCTATGCTCTCTCTACTTCTCAAAATGCTTACTTCAGTAATTTGTTTATGATGCTTTTTTTATCCTACAGAAGTTTTTAACCTTAATGCACTCAAATTAATCAATATTTTATTGTATAACTTCTGTGTTAACATTTAAGAAAAAATTTCCTTTTCCAGGGCTATAAACATATCTTTATATTTTCTTCTAGTATCAGATCAGATTTTATTTTAGTACTTACCTCTTTAATTAATGTGTCAGATTTTGGGGTTGAATGATGTGGAGTAGAACAAAAACATTCTGTTTTTTCTATATGTATGACTTTCCCCAAAACATTTTTTGAACCAAATAATTTTCCCTATAATGTTGTCATTTGCAGGCATGTGTCCTTGTTCTCATTTGCAATTCTTTCTCCATTATACTCTAGTCATTGCCCCATTCTCACCAAGCCACTGAGACTGCCCATGTCAAGGGCCACAATGACTTCCATGTTGTCAAAGCCAATGGTCACTTCTTCATCCTTATCTTTCGTGGCCTTTGGCATTCCCCATACTGTGCACCACTCTCTTCATGAAGCACTTTCTTTCCTTGGCTTATACTCCAATGCCACTGGCCACTCCTTTTGAGTTTGTATAGTTGGCTCTAATTCGTTAGCTTCATTTCAAAACTCTGGAGGGCACCTGGACTCACTCAGAGCTCCTTCCACTTCTATGTTCACACTCTCCTTTTAAACAATCTCATCTGGTTCCGTGTCTTTATGTAACACCCACATGCCCTTGACTACGTGATATACATGCTCATCCTTGACCTATCCTGGAACTCCAGAGTCCATTTTTTTCCACTCTGCTTGGCATCTCTGTGTGGTGGCCTAATAGGTATCTTAAATGCTACATGTCTAAATGAGAACTCTTGGCTCCCCTTCTAGTCAGCCATGTTCACCAACCAAAAATTTCAATTTCTCACTTCAACGTTCCAAATCCTACCCACTGCCCACAATCCCCTTAACTCTACCTCAGAAGTAGAATTTTCCTTTCATCATCTCACCACTGTTATTCCTCATCTAGACTCCCATCATCTCCTCACTAGACCTGTGCAGCACCTCTAACGGTGCTGTTCCTACCAAGCTTGTTTCATTTCTGCTCCCTAAATAGACATAAGAAAGCCACTATCTCATGGGGACCTTTGTACTCACTCTGCACCAACTCCATTGACACACTGTTCTCAGCTCTTGGCATGGCTAAAGCCAAAAAAATCACAACTATCTCAGCTTAAATATTATCTCTGGAAAGAAGCCTTTCCTAACTATTTAATAAAATGGCCATGTTTTCTCATGTAGGTACTCTATTTTAATTCTTTGTAGAGTATGAATACTATATTCTTGTTTATTCTTCATTGGTCTCTTTCACCTGTAACTTCCCACTAGACTGTTAAGTTCCACAAGCACACTGACATAGTCTCACCCTGAGTCTTAGTCCTTTCAGATGGCTATAACTGAATACACAGACTGGTGACTTACAAAGAACAGAAATTTGTTTCTCACAGTTCTGGAGGCTGGAAAGTTTAAGATCAAAACACTGGAAGATTTAGTGTCAGATGAGGGCCTGCTTAGATGAGAGAGCCATCTTCTCACTGTGTCCTTACATAGCAGAGGGGGGAGGGAGCTCTCCAGGGTCTTTTTATAAAGGTACTAATCCCCTCTATGAGGGCTCCACCCTTATAACCTAATCTCTTCCCCAAAGCCCCACCTCCTAATATCATCACATTACATTGGGCATTAGTAGTTCAACATGGGAATTTGGGGGGAATACAACATTCTATCTATAGCACCCTGTAATAAAGTCCCCAGCATATATGTATCAAATAGATATTTGGCTTTATTTTTTGAAACTCTAATCAATTACATTGTTATACTGTATTTATTTTTTCACAAACAGCACATATTTTTATTACAACAGCTTTAGTAGATAATTTAATATCTAGGAAAGAATTATCCTCTCCACACACATTGTTTTTTTCCAGAACTGGCTCTTCTAAGGTAGTGAACTACTTATTTTACATGAATTTCAGACTCAGATGTTTCATGTTAAATTCTGTTGGAATTTTGATTGGTATTTTTTATGTCTATAGCCTATTTTGAGGAAAATTGATATCTACTTAACACTGAAGCTTCACATTAAAAAAAAATGTTATTTCCCTGCTTATTTAAACTTCTTTCCCCCTTTGATTTAGTTTTACAATTTCCTTTTTATCATTTTTGAAGTTTATTTACAGGTAATTAATAAATCTTTTTAAATTGCTGGAATGTATTTTTTTTATTATACTTGTTAATTTTCAGACAGCTCTTCTACCCACACCCTATTGAGGTCACTTACTTCATATAATATTATAGCTGTTTTATTGATGTGCTAAAGGAGATGACCACAGGATTTCCTTCCAACTTTTTTAGACATTATATTTCATTGGCTGAGACCTCCAAAAAATGCTTAACAGCAATATTACTGTGGGTATCCCTATCTTCCTTTATGTGTTCACAGAATCACCATTAAGTAGAAAGTTTGCTCTAAGAAGTCAAAAAGGTTCTCTTTGTAGTCTTCTATAATTTGAAAAATTGCTTTTTAAATAAAATTTTTAAGAAATCAACTTTATAATGAAGAATAACTGAAAAATGATCATAAACTTTGAGAAAATACTGCACTGTTTTAAGAACAACAGTTTCTAATTGTTGAACTTCCTTTATGAGATAGAGTACTTAATACTTTTGATATTTTATTCCTAACAATCAGAGCACTACTACAAAGTGGGATATTTTTCACCATTTTAAAAATGAGGACATCTTGGATCAGAGAGTCAAGTAATTTATCATAGTTCACAAACTCTAATAAGCAATTAAGCAGGGAATTATAGCCACTGTCTCTAGCTCCAAAACCCTCACTCCTCCCACCATATTCCATTTTTAATTCAGTGAGCTATTAGACCAATCCTTTCAACATGACCTGGTAGAAAGGATAACAAATGTGCCCTGGATTTATGGGCTAATTGATGACCAAAGAATGTCTATTCTGATGTCATTTATAAAGAAGATCTTAAAGTAAAATTCATAAAGAGCTGTTTTTGTCACTAACAGCTACATCTTTTTGAATGAATAGCTTGCATTAAAGCAAAGAAGGCAAAGACACAGATAGCAAGTTGAGCAGGAAAGTTAATATAATGGATTACAGAACGGAAATTTTAAAAAATCTAAATCTAAAAAGCTAGAATACTATTCAGCCATTAAAAAAAAATGGAGACTTTACAGACTTTGCATTAACCTGGAAGTGGAACACATTATTCTTAGTAAAGCATCACAAGAATGGAGAAGCATGAATCCTATGTACTCAATTTCGATATAAGGACAAATTATGACATGTTGGGGGTGAGGGAAGGGGAGAGCAGAGAGAGAAAGAAGGAGGGAGGGGTGGGGAAAGGAAGAGCAGAGAGAGAGAAGGAGGGAGGGGTTGGGGTGTTGGTGTATGCCACACCTTTTGGGGGCAAGACATGATTCTAAGAGGGACTTTATCTAACAAATGCAATCAGTATAACCTGGTTTCTTGTACCCTCAATAAATTCCCAACAATAAATTAAAAAAAAAAATCTAAAGAGCACTGAAATGTTGTTCCAAAATCAGCAAGAAAAATTTCAAATGGTTAGAAGTAAAAGATTGACATGTAGGACCAAAAATATCAACTGCACACAAATAGAATGTGCATAACCATAGTTCCTATGAAAAAGACCTAGAGGTTAAACCACACTTTGTATAACATAGTTGCCAAGTATATTCCATATAATTTCAGTATGTATGAATATCATTGTTATTGATTATACCAAGAGATTAATAGTAGCACTCTCAATATCTAAAAATACATATCTAGTTATAGTAATTATATTCTAATTGGCATAACCGCACGAGGTTATAAGTTATTACCAGGTATCTATTTGATCAAGCCCAGGGTGGAGAACATTTCAGAGGGATCCCCAAGATGTCCCATACTGGTTAGACAACTCTGGGGGAACAGGAAGTCCACAAAATAATCCACTCCTCCTGGGCTCAACCTCATCCCAATTGGAATATCCACCATAAAAATTCCTCCTCCCATCTTTTGTGTTATTTGATTTCTATCGGCACTTACCGCTACTCCTGTCTTATAAAGAAGGTAATGCACAGTCTGTGTGACATCAGCGGCATGCATTAAATTATGGTAAGGATTTTTATGTTTGCTGTATCCCACTTCCAGGGCCTCCACAAATGAGACAAGTGCAGAAATGGGGATCTGAAAGAGAGCATGAGGTTAATTAACTCATGTGTCAGCTGCAGTAAGAGAACAAGCAAAAATCTAAGGTACTGGACTGATCATATCTGGAGGATAGGATCACATGAGAAAATTAAAACTTTTTATAGCTAAGAAAAATCACTGAAGAAATCATCAGATAATTTGAATAATCTCACGGGAAGTCCCTAGGTGAGGAATAATCTGCCTTGCAAATTGTCCTTTCTTTCTCAGTTCAGAATCCCTGGGAAATGACACAGAATCATCTTGAAAACATTTAGCTTCATTCACATGTAATGATTTTTGATGTGTACGTAGAAAACTAAGTTATTGGTGACTGTGCTAATTTTTTGTATTTCTTTGTATTCATCTTTAAATACCTTCCCTTCAGCCCCAAGGAAAAAGAGATGCTACCAGGATACCAAACAATGTTGTGAACAACATCAAGGAACATCGAAATAATACTAATAATTAGTACCAGTATGTGGAATCATTTACCATTTGTAGTGTAACATGAGTGGAATGAGTCCTTCCAAACTGTGAGTCACAAACAATAAGTTTCAAGTAATAAACAGAAGATCATAGTCAGTTCCTGTTCCCATATATAACAGACTATTACATTTTAGTCATAATTTTAGTATTTTTGTTTTATGTGTCCAATTCATACAACCAATTCCTTTAAAGGGCACAGTGTTTAGGAAATGAGTATTTCCTTCAATACTGGTGGAAGCTTGTGTTTGTTTTACAATAATCTCATAACTTAATCTTTGTGTACTTTGTTTCCTCGCAAAAAAAAAATGAGATATGTTGCACAGTAAGTGCTTATTCATTTATCGAGAAATAAGAGACTTGAGCCTTTGACTACCAGTAACTCAGAATAACATTTCCCAGTTAGCCTAATGTTTTTCCATCCAAAACACAGTACCTATGGCTTCCTTTTCTATGTAGCAGAAAGTAAAGAACAATTGCAAAATACAAGCACAAAGTAGGCGCACCCTGGAAACGATCTCTGTGTTAGTTTTCTGCATCAATTCCATGGTTCAGGGTAAATTATGCAGTATAAGGCTGGAGGGAAAGGCAAGGATGTGTGTTCTGGAGATTAATAATTGTATTAGCCATGAAAAAAAATCAAGAACATTTTTCTGACATTCCATAACTTGTTCTTCTTTAAGCATATCTTCCCATGCTTACCATTTGTAGATTTTTTTTAAACTTTAAATATGTGGCCTTTGAAAGGTCCTCTATAAATTCATTATCATTTTAAAAAGAATGATAAACTAACGAACTCGAGTTCCCCGGTTGTTCTCTGGATATCCATGAACCACTGTGATGGCTGTGTGTGTATGTGCACAGGAACCCTGTTCTAAGGAAACGGTCTCCACCATCCACTGGATTTTCATGCAAGTTTCTGATGCAAAAAAAAAAATTAAGGACCTAAGGACCACCCTATATTTGGTCATGTAAGAAATGCATTCCCAAATACACAGTCCTTAGGAAAGTGATCCAGAGAAAGCATACATTGTACAGGGAAAGACTTGCATTTTCCAGAGGCTTATTCATCTGTTGAGAGAAGTCTGAGGAACTGGATGCCCCAGATGCTGGTAGTAAATACGTAGGTTCCCTTGAACATCAGCCCAACCTCAAGAGTCTGCAGTATTAGAAGGCTGAGATAGTTGAACACTGGAAAGGATTCATGCTCTTTATTTAATGTTGAAGAATTAATCTGAAGCATGAATGGCTGGAAAATATCAATGATCTGTCATAGAAGATAAGTGAGGGTATTTGTCTGAATGAGCCACACAGTGGGGGAAAGTTTATGGAGACAGCAGATGCGCACTCTGTCTCCATCACTGTCTCTCTGACCCTGGTGGTCGATAGTACACAAAGTCATACTGAAACAAGGTTTGCAGGCAGAGCCTGAGACCATGCTTAGCTACTTCAGGCTTCAGGCTGTACTTCTAGGAAGATTGGGGTCTGATCAGGTTTCTCCAACCTCTCCTCTGCCAATGGGACCCACCAATGAGGGTATAATCAAAAGTGCTCACTGCAGAGGAATTTGTAACAGTGGCTAGCCAAACCATGCTTCCTGAGTCACCCAGAGCAGTTTTCATTCTTTATTAAAAGAGTCTTAGCCCAAAAGTCATATGAGGATGAACAAATGTGTGTACTTTATATATTTTTCTTTTTAATGAGGTACCAACCTTGAAACGGCTGATCAAATCATAGCGTGTGAGTAATTCATAGAAAATAAACTTCAGTGCATGGTCCCCACTTGCCTCATTGAGAGAAAAGACATCAAAGGACCACTTGTCCACATCCTGTAGAACAGGGCATGAGAAAGAACACATTAGCCCACAGTTGCTTACACATCCACCAATCTCCCCATTTTCAGGTCTGCCTACAGCTTTCATTAAGGTTTCACAGCTCAAGACTTGAACACCCTTTCCACTCTCAAACTTCTTCCAATCTGGCAGTCTTACCTGGTATTTACTGTTACAACATTAAACAGTCTTATTGCTAATAATGATAGACACAGTTTACTGAGTGCCTTCTATAGGATAGACATTAGAGTTAGTGATAGATATATCAGAAAACAACTGTAAGTGATAGGTAATATTGATCTTATTTTACAGATGAAAAAAGCAATGTTACCTAATTTCCTGAGAGCCATCAGGAGTTAGTGCTAGGGACAGAGGTTGGACCAGAACCCAAACACAATTTGGATGACTTAAAGTCAGGCTCTTTCCATGCAGCCTGCAGGTGCTAAATTCATAATGGTCTAAGGTGCTTCCCTTCTCTTAACTAAGCTCCAACCCCTTGACACCATCCAATCACTTCCTTGTACTCTACAGTTGAGAAGGTTAACTCATTTAAAAGTGTTTAGAAACACACACGATATGGAATACAGAATAGTATCTCACATCAATCTAACCTGCTGGGCTGAAAATAAAGAGAAAGAAAGCATTCATTTCACAGCACAGAAAAATGCTATCATTTCCAGAGTCACCAACCTAAGATCGTGTCTTCAGATTTGTATGTCATTTTATTGAAAATAGTAAAAGGAAAAACCTAAACTGAACACACACTTTAATCACCATCCATGAAGTTTAAAGTCTTCTTTGCCCATAAATAACATGTAAATAAATATAGTCTGATGAGGCCTTTGAGTTGTCACAACCAACTACTTGTAGCTATGTTAAACAAAAGTGTATTGGTGTATTTAACCAAATAGCTAAAGCAATAGTTGTTTGGTTTTTCATCACATCAACAGCCTCACTTTCTGTAGTTAAATAAAATGCATTGAGTGGAGCTTGACAATAAGGATCCATGTTAGACCACACTAAGGACAGGCAAGGCATCAGATGAGTACCCTGGTGAAAACCTTGGCTTTCATGAATGACTTTCACTCCAGCCTTCACCACATCCCAACATAATTCATCCATCCCAGTCTTGTCCCTCCAAATGTTCTAACCAACAACAAATTCATCCCAAGGCCATCAAGGGTCTCTCTTATGAATGTCAGGGGAACAGTTTTTGGGGAAAATGGAATTGTATACAGGGAAAATCAAACTTTTCCAAAAGGGTTTCAAATGAATTGTTCCAACTCACACTTACTGGTAACTCACTTTGGTCCTCAATAATTGCCCCTCTGTTAAAATGATGAAAGGAGTAGCTGCAAGGGCTGAGCACATTTTCTATTACCATGAAAATGAAGGTATCATCATAGCAAAAAGATTTATTCTGAATATCAGGACAGAAGAATGAGTAAGTAGAAACAATAAAATGAATGTTCTCTCTGGCCTCTCATTTAAGGAAAGGTTAACTGTGGTTCTTAAATTTTAATCTTCTTCAGAACCACTTGAGGGGCTCACCGATTCTCAGGTGGGAGACTCGAAAGAATACTATGTGCAGGATGGAATCTGCATCTTTATAAGCTCTCAGTTTAACTGCCTTAAACCATTCTGTCTCTTTTACATAATTTTGTCCAAGAAAATTCCCATGGGGAAATCTACATGCACTTCCTGTTAGTCTAACTTAAGGAAGCCTGAACCTCCTCCCGTTTTAAACCTGGAGTCTATCCAAGGTGTTGCTTCCTGAGTCATGGGACAGACAGATGCCCTTCTAAGAGCACCGGGTCTATGTTTCCAACTGACTCACTTCAGAAGACAAATGCCTTAAATTAGAAGCTTTTATATATGTGTGTGCATGTATATATGTATATAATGGAAAAAATGAAAAGAGCGTAATGCAACACATTTCAAATTTAGAGACTGGTAGTGGTTAATTAGTCTCTTACTTAATTGTCACTTTGTGCCACGTTCTTACATTAACTGCAAAGGTTAACACGACAATAGCATAATGGTTATTTTGGTGAATTATATTCTCTCAGTCTATGGGGAAAAATTCTATAATAGAAAAAAATAGTAGTGATTCCATATGAACTGCTGGAAATGAAGTGGAAATAATAATTTTTCTAACAGGTACTATATAAAAGAAGAAGAAAAAACGAATCTATTTCTGTGTTCTTTCTAACTCACAGCAAATAAAACCAGAGTCTGGGGAAGTAGAAAAATATTACATCATAAAACAGCGTTGAACTTCCCCAGTAAACAGGTGACAAGGCCCAGAGAAACAGAAGTTTTAGCCTTAATGCACATATCACTCATACATGCAGAGAAATGTAGCGATTTAGAGAACTAGTACTTACTCCTTGACTCAATAATCTAAGTACCTTTCCTAAATACAACATGCGTGCATTTGAGATATTTTCCCCCTAAGTATAAAATAAATTCATGCACATCACAGGCTGTTTCATGTTTTTTCAGTTATTCTGCAAAAAAGGGACTTTAATTTAGAGGAAACATTTTCATAAATGTCTTGCTACCAGTATACCCATTTGTATTTACGTTCATGATGAAAGAAGAAATTAAGGACAGAAGATGTTTTTAATGTTTCTAAGACTCTCATTGAATATTTCAGGTTCAGTTATAGAAATCGATGAAACTTCATAGTGGGTGCTATGAAACATCAGATGGCATGAAGTGTTCACTGATCCAAATGGGGAATATCCCTGTAGATTGCACTGATGTGATCCCCACATCAGCATGGAGATTAAAAAGAGCAAGAGAAACAATCATCTTGTTGTGCCTTTCCAGAGAATCCTTCTTGCTCTTAAGATAAATTTTCTTTTGTTTTAAATGAGTTTTCTTAAGAGATAGAAAAAGGAAGAATGAGAATCTATACATATATGGTCTTGCAAATTCACCTAGTGAATGTTTCTGAGATATGACTTGAAATTAATCAAGAAGCAGCCCAACCCCATTTCCATGAATAGGTAATCTGTCTCCTAAAAATATCATCAGATAATACATTTTTCAGGTTTCAGAGAAAAATAGCCAAAGTCAAGATGCTACAATGTCCTTGAGCAAATGGACGAACTCCATGTGTGGACACCTGTGTGTCCTGGGCCCAGCACAGCCCCACCTTGGCCTGCAGAAGCCAAATGAGATTCCACACACCTCAAATACCCTCAGGCCACTGGATCTGAAACAACACCTGCCTACAGGAAGGCATTCATTTGGGGACTTATACACTCTGCAATTCTAAGAGCTTGCCTGATTGGGAGTAATTCTGTAGAATTTAGCCCATTTAAACCCAAATATATGCATGACTCCCAATGAAACATTTGGCTCAGTGAGAGTCTTGGGACAACAGAAGGACATATAGAGGGGACAAGGGCTCAGGGACTATGCACTCATGTAGTAAAATGTTACTCAGATCTTACTGTATGCTGGAGACTCTGGTACCAGGACTTAGTTCTGTCTTTAAATAACTCAGTCTTTTTAAAATCTCACTAAATCTTGTTTTTTCATCAATAAAATGGACTTGGGGTAAGTAATAACACAATTACAATCATTAAAGATCTTTCCAATGTTGAATACATGTAGCCGTATTATATTTGATCTCCTATGGTCAGATGAATCTCCTAATGTCAGGGCACTGTGTAAAACTTAAACTACTTTAGAGGAATACGAATACAATGAAATACACACAGAGTTGTCTTTTAAAAAATTAGGAATAGGAAGGCTGAAAAGGTAGTGATACTACTAGAACAGATAAGAAAATGATAGTAACAGAATAAAGTCAGAAAAAGAACTGTAAAGACTCTTATTTTCTAACAACAAACTTAAGTGTAATTTTTGCAAGGTGTCATGTACATTATAAAACCTTCTCGTTGGTATTACCTTTAATGCTTCAATAACAGCTGGTGGGTAACTCAGTCCAACCATGTTCGAAGTCCGTCTATACATTCTGCAAAATCACAGTGGAAAAATGCAATGTGATATCTTACAAAGAAGGACTAGCAGTCTACAGACTTATACTAAGTATTGACAAGTGAGAAGTCATGCTGCTGGTGACTCAAACAACTTAAAATCTTCTTTGACATTTTTCATAGTTATTCAAGTAGTCTAGGTGCTAAATTCAAAAGAAATTAAAGGAATCACAAATATGTGAATGACTGGGGAGAAAATTAACTTTATGTACCCTATATTGGAAATCAAATTATTAAATGAGTCACCCCTTTGCCAGAATGAATTATAGTACAGCCCAGGCAGTATTCAGTGTAGTAATTTAACCTGAATGAAGTGCAATCCACTTAGAAGAGCTTGTTCTTTAGAACTGTCCAAAATATGGGCTAGGTGTGGTGGCTCATGCCTATAATCCTAGCACTCTGAGAGGCAGAGGCAGGCGGATTGCCTGAGCAAGAGCAAGACACCGTCTCTAAAAACAATAGCCAGGTATTGTGGTGGAAGCCTGTAGTCCCAGCTGCTCCAGAGGCTGAGACCAGAGAAATGCTTTGAGATGGCTGTGAGTTATGACGCCACAGCACTCTATGGAGGGCGACAAAGTAAAACAAGAAAAAATAAAAGAACTGTCCAAAACAAGAAGGAAAAATGTCCCCTAACTTTGAACTCACTGTGACATTTCTAAAACATATAATTGTACAATAAATATTGTAGGAAAAATATATCCATCTCTGGAATCTATTTTTGGAGAGAGGGTAGGCGATTTGATTTCAAAGAACAAAAAGAAGGGTCTAATAAAACTGAAGGGTCATGGGGAACTTGAACCTCTTAAATGAACGGTCCTTCTTGGGTCAGCAACCTCAAAGAATCCTTGACCAATTCCAAATGTAAACAGTATCCATATAGTTCAAAGGTCAATGAACTGGATGATTTCCTTCTATAAAACTTATAGAACTAATCTTCCCTGGTTGACCAAAAGAATTCTGAGCAAAAGCAAAGCTTGTCCTAATGATGTTACAGAGATCACAACAGATATGTTTTTATTATCTCTCATTCAGGACTATTTCTACTACCATGTTTCCCCAAAAATAAGACCTACCCAAAAAATAAGCCCTAGCAGGATTTCTATGCATTTTTTAAATATAAGCCCTACCCCGATAATAAGACCTAGTGTATCTGCATAGCCATGCCATGCATTTCAGCATGGACAGTAAGACATCCCCTGAAAATAAGCCCTAGTGTGTCTTCTTGAGAAAAAAATAAATATAAAACAGTGTCTTATATTCAGGGAAACATGGTACTATGTAATTTTCAGTATTTATAAAAATGTCAAAACTATATCCAAGCAGATTCTGGTGCTTGGGTCACCGAATGACAATAAGTGATGTCTTTACCTTTCCACAAATATCCCAGCCTGCACTGCGTGGACGATGCTCTTGAACCTGGGCTTCTCCTCGCTCCTCCGGAGCATCATCCCCATTTGCCGAGTGAAGGTGGAGGCCAGCCAGTCTCGGACCTCAGAAGGCACTGCATCCGACTGAATGTCACTAAGCTCATCCTCCGTATCCAGGAGTCGCCTGAACATAAGAAACGGAGCCAGGACAGAGATTAAATCTGAAGTTAGAGCTCTCTGTTCAAAGCAGCTGTTCCTTTCTGCCTCACCTGTATGCAGATGCAAAGAAACCAAATTAAATCACTCACAAGAAATACAGCACCTGTTTTGTAAGACTTGTGAACCCTCGCCATCTGTATTTCAGGGTGGCTCTCTCTACCAGACTGCTCAAAGGGACAAAGGAACAGAAGGGATCAGGGATTCAAATACCCTCCTCACCAGCTCCATGGGTGGCAGATCCACTGCACTCAAGGGCACCCAGTATCTTTTTTCTTACAAGGTCTGTGAAATCTGGATGGAATTTAAACCTTACACTTAAAAATATGCTCACAAGAAGCCTCAAATTATTTCACAAATAGACCATGTGGCATTATTTTGTTAAAAAAAAAATGGACACTTAAAGAATTAGCAAAGTGTTAACTCAAATCACAGCAATCTAGTCTTCTGAAGTAATGATCAGAAGTGATGTCAGTTGATATGCTTTCTCGTTTGACTGGACGTTACAGAAATTTAAATGTCAAAATTCAAGCAAAATTTTCAAAATAATGCACTTGTTTAATTTGAACACAATGATTTAAGTTATCTAACAGGTTTTAGCTGATGCTTCAAATTTATTCATAGGTTAGACCACTAGAAAGAAATGTTAGTAGTAATGCTATAATAAAACCTAAATTATATTCTATACTTATATTAATCCCCGCTAAAAATAAATAACAATATTAGGTATCAATGAAAGGTGTTTGGGTTCCCCCATACCTTTAGATGCATTGACTGGGGGGAAGGGAATAAAACATAACATTGGGGGAAAACTGTGATATCAAATGTCCTTAAATTAGGAAGGAAGCATGTTACACACACAAAAACCCAACATATAATCTTTAGATAACAGAGAAATACTTTCAGATTGGAATTCGGCAAAGAAAAGTAAGACATACTGACAGAAAAGCCCATCTGAATTAAGAAAAAAAATACCCCAAACTTTCACACTCAACATTTTTCAGAGGAAAAGCAATTTTGTTACTTTCAAATGCATTTAGTAAGTGGAACTGCATTAATACTTTTAGATAATTTAAGTGAAAAAAGTCTATGAAAGAAAATCAGTAACACACATAAGATTGAAGAAGGAAAGCTGGGCGCATAAGAGAATAAATGCTCCCCCATCACTTTAGGAGCCTCTGTTTACTGATGGATATTGTGAATTAAAAAAAAAAATGTAGACTAACACTAACAGTATGCAATAGTTAGAATGGAACTCTATGTTTAATTTTAAAAATCTATAGCCCAAGAATATGGGGAAGGGGGAAAGGGAGGGGAGGGGAGGGGGGAGGATGAATGGAGGGAGGGTTATGACCACACCTATGGTCCATCTTACAACAGTACATGTGAACCTTTCTAAATGTAGAATATAAATGCCTTAACACAATAACTAAGAGGAAGCCATGAAGGCTATGTTAACCAGTTTGGTGAAAGTATTTCAAATTGTATATAAAACCTGCACACTGTGCCCCATGACTGCATTCATGTACACAGCTATGATTTAATAAAAAAAAAAAAAAAACTTACTAGGTTTTTAAAAATAACTTTTTCTTCTCTTACATTATCTCATTTTATTGTCTTAATGGCCATATGAAATATGTCCTGGTGGCTCCTTTTATTAAGGACAAGGTACAGAGATTAAGTCAATTGTTCAAATCTATCCCATTTGTCTGTGGAAACTAAAGGTCTAGGACTATTAATTTAATTTTAAGGTTACCTAGTATGTGCCATGGGGGACAATTTCAGAAAAGCCATTTAACAGAAAATTTATCCTCACTATTGTTATTACTTGTCATTTTTTAGCTTACCTGGTTTCATCAATGTATACAGACTCAAGCACTGTGGCTGCATATTCCAAATTCTTCTTAAGATCTACCACCGAAGCCTCCCCTCTCTCTAATTGTTTGACCAAAGACCGTAACCTAGGGGAAAAAAATTATGATTTTATTTGAATAGAGAAAACAACGAATAACCCTACAATTATGGTGATACATTTTCCAGTCACTGAATGTCCTTGTTTATTAGAACATAGCCAAAAGAAAAATAATTATTGGGCCAAAAGAGCAGGTTATAAAACAAATGCATGTGTTTTTACCATTTTAAAGCAAAAATAAAATTTTTTTCATCAACCAAGCACTAACCATCTTCAATACTTTTTATCTACCTCATTTTTATGAGTTCCTAAATTATCAATAATTTACTTTCTCTCAAATTTTTATCTTTTTTTGTTCTAACTGGAGGTAGTAAAGCATGATCAATAATAAAGAATGAAAAAAATATCCTGGATGGATCTTTAAAAGTAGGCAAAAGGGTCAGCTCTATAAAACTTTCCAGGAATTTCAACAATGTAAAAAGACAAATGAGATTAGATTAAGAATAGTCTCTACCTGACTTAAGAATGTCTAACATAGGCTCGGTGCCTGTGGCTCAAGCAGCTAAGGCACCAGCCACATACACCTAAGGTGGCGGGTTTGAATCCAGCCTGGGCCCACCAAACAACAATGTCAGCTGCGACCAAAAAAATAGCCAGGCATTGTGGCAGGTGCCTATGGTCCCAGCTACTTGGGAGGCTGAGGCAGGAGACTTGCTTGAGCCCAG